TGCGTGTGCGTGTGTGGGTGTGTGTGTGTGTGTGGGTGGGTGGGTGGGTGGGTGTGGGTGGGTGTGTGCGTATAAGTTGGCGTGAAGGGTTCATGGTGCAGCGTTTAGGGTTTAGGTCAACTGAGAGTTAGCTTGTTACCCCCGGTCGAAGTATCGGAAGACATGTTTGCCCCAGCTGAATGTGCATTAATTGCCTCTATTATTTGTCTATTAATGAAGTCGGAGAACAAATCAAAGAGCGATATACCTTCGGGCAGGCTCTAACATAACAAACAAAAACGCACAACTTTATACAGAACAGTCACACCTGTTATGAAGTTAACGCTACAAGAACTGGAGGAACGGGGAGATAGGAAAGAAAAGAGAGGATAAAAGAAGGAAGAGCAACAACGAAGGGAGGGGGGAAGACTAAACAATATATTTAAGATATTAACAAGAGAATAAAAGTCTAACTTCAGGGTTGGCCTGCAAGAAACTCGTTAGTCTTCGCAGAAGATTACTCAGTACCGGCTTTAGTGCGACTGTAGGCAAGCAACCAAAGGGCACAATAAATAAATAAATATTACATGCATAAATAATTTAAAAAAATAAAGAAGCGCAAAGATATAAACGACCCATTCAACAGAACAAACGAGGAAATGCAATACAATAAGCTCTTTTCTAATATAACTACCAAATCATTACTACCAAATCAATATTTAATTCGCTTCGCCTATTTTATTTTTCGTATACTTTTCTCCTTCATTTGCTGCTTAGAGCCTCTATCCTGCTGTGTACAGTCGCAGCGTTCTGGTGCTATGCTCTCTGCCTTACCCCCCTTTTGAACTTGTGTTGTTTGCTCTAAGAAAACATCTAAGGCATGCAAATGGCATTCATCAGAGAATACTTGCACGACGCAGTCGAGCAGATATTGCTGCGCCAAAGTGTCTTTACAGCCCATTATCTGCCCGCATAAACACATGCACATATACATACATACATACATTCATACATACATACATACATACATACATTCATACATACATTCATACATACATACATACATACATACATACATACATACATACATACATACATACATACATTCATACATTCACACATACACACATACCACACATACCACACATACCACACATACCACACATACCACACATACCACACATACACGACACACACACACACACACACACACACACACACACACACACACACACACACACACACACACACACACCCTAAACCTTAACACCGAGCATCGAATCTCTATACCGCAAGCACTGGGGACTGCAGAAGCACTGGGGACTGCAGAAGCACTCGGCACAAGCAGCAGCACAAGGTCCTCCCCTTTCTGCTCTTTGTGCTGCTGTGTGCTTCAGCACTGCTGCTGGTGCTGCAGTGACTGGCTCCCACCTGTTGCAGAATGGCCGGTAGCGCCTGCGTTCTGTAAAATTCTGGCGTCATTCCCTCGAGTTGGGCCATGCGCACAAGGGCAGAGCTCACAAGGACTCGTAAGTCTTTTCTTTCCTTTTCCCTCTTCAGCTTGTCTCTCAAGCTGCTTTGCTGCTGCAGCCGCACCCACAGCCGCGAACTTTCATTAAAATTTGTTAATAAAAACAAGAAGGCATCCTCAGGACCCGAGACACCTTCCCTGCAACGCCGACAGCAACGCATTTAGCAGCAAATGCAACGGCACATGAAGCAACAAATGCAGCAGTACTGAGCCTATAGCACCACATGCAGCAGCAATTGCGGCAGCATGCAGCAGCAATTGCGGCAGCATGCAGCAGCAATTGCGGCATCATGCAGCAGCAATTGCGGCAGCATGCAGCAGCAATTGCGGCACCATGCAGCAGCAAGTCCAACAGGGCATGCGACACCCAATCCAGCCGCAGCAAAAGCACCACCGAAAACAGCACCAATGAAACAAATGCAGCCGCTGCAGCTGCAGCTGCAGCAGGTGTGCTGTTGCACCTACACCTGCTGCAGCTGCAGCTGCAGCAGGTGTAGGTGCAACAGCAGCAGGTGTAGAAAGCAGCAGCCCTCGTGGTAGAAGAATCCGAGCCATATGATTCATTAGAAAAGGCGATAAGTACTTTGAAATAACAATAAAAGCGAAGGGAGGAGATGTGGGGATGCGCAGTATTAAGGTATACGTACACCTCATAGTCGGATCCCTTATCAGGGAGGACATCTCTACAGAGTTGAATAAGATAGAAGCGAAGGAAGAGACCTCTCATTGGGTGTTGAACTCCCTTGGAGAGTTCTGTGAGGTCTCTGAGGATGTCTGCCGCTGGTGCTTCTGTTGATTTTATAAAAGCAACGCCAACAGTAATTAATAAATATAAACGAGGAATTATATTCCCTGCATGTTGCACTGTTTCATACAAGTCGGAGAGTCTACGGCCATGACGAGCCTTGTCGCTAAAGAAGGCCAGCAGATGCTGCAGCTCTTGAAATGCCAACATGTCTGTGTGCATACACCCATACACACAACAACCACCCCAAACAATAAACCCTACATGTAGGCGTAATTCTAGACACAAATGGAAACCACACAAGCAAACAACGGGCTAAGTGGTAGGCTTTAGGGTTTTATGGTTTGCCTAGGAACCAGGCGAGCGATTTAGGGTTCAGAGTCTAGGGTTTGGGTTTACAGAGCTCGTAGTAATGTTTAGGCGACAAGAGAGATGTCCTCAGTTCGCTAACGAAATTGGATGCGTGCTTTAATGCATCACGGAGGTTGTCATTGTCCTGAGCAGCAACCAGAGTTGTATATACCCGAAAAGTGTTTTGCTGTCCAACAATGTTGGGGTGTATGTGTAGCTTAAACGGTGCAAATATTCAGAAGCTGCGGATACACTCCAAACTCGAACGGTGTGTATCTGCAGTTTGCTGCATGCAGCAAACTATAAATATATAGTAAACTATAAATATATTATAATGTACGTAATGTCTGCTGCAGCAACAAACAAACGAGAAGCAATACACCCAGAAACAATAAGACGCAGATGCTTACAATTGCTCGCTTCATATAACAGCCCTGTTCTCTTACAACCGCCGACGCCTCCTCCAGCAGCTTCTCCTGTTCCTGTTCTTGCATCATCTTGATCTCGTTTTGGAGGTTGAAGTATAGGGTTTAAGGTTTTGTTGTAGGGCACCTGACGCACCGCTGCATGCCCCTTAGAAGTCACTCAGATGCTGCACAGCTTCGAAACTCTAAGCCCGCAACCCTAGAGCCTCAGCCCTGTCGCTGCTGCTGCAGCACGGAGGCGGGAAGTGTATGGTATGCGGCGTCACAGCCGCCGCAGCTCCCAAGAAGGCGGGCCAGTGGCAGCTGATGAGTTTGCGTTGTACGTTCACAGGGCTAGAGGGTGTTGTCTATACCCTCGCGAAGGGTTGGTTTCAAGCAGACTGACAAAACGCATGCGCTGATTTGAGCAGCAGAGGAGCGCCGACAAGCAGCGTTTGCTGCCGGCTCCAAAAGGAAACCAGTGGTTAGAAGAAGAATTTGTCAATATATTGTATTAAATGACTGAAAGTTCGGGGTTCAGGGTTTAGCGTTTCTTGAGGAAGCTGCTGCTTCCTCGGTCTGTCTGTTGTCTGTCGCTGCTGATAAGCAGTTCTTGTGTCAGATCCTTCGCGTGCAAGAGGGAAAGCTGCGCCATAAGCGGATATTCAAGCCTGAAATTATGTTTCATGGACACAAATGAAAGAAACAACTCATAAAAACACATAAATGCAGTGGATTCCAAAGATTGCAAAAGCCCGTTGTTGCGTATACCTGCGTATACACGCGTACGGGTCGGCTGAAGCCGTCGCTGCCGCCAGGGAGCCCCACAGACAGCTTTCCCTGTATTAAATTTCCAAAAGGTTTTGTTGACTCTTTTCTAAATATCATTTATTTCGTATTCCGTGGACAAATATCCGAATTTGCAGGGCAGGATGCTCCGTCATGCCCTCACGCCAGCCAGTCTCACCGCGAGTTGCTTAGACAGGCCGCCAACCGTACGTTTTCTTGAATCAAATAAAAAGTAAATACACCCAGCCATGTCGAACGCACACAGTAAACTGCAATGGATAATTACCCTTGAGAAGTGCTGATTAGCTTCATCCTACCCAACCCAAAGAACTACACACCTGTCTTTGTCTCATAAACTCGGTGATTTTACGTATGTCGGAGGTAGGTTTCCTGCATATTTATATAGCTAAGTGGAGTGTCTTCTGCATGCAAAGGGAAACTGGTGCTGAAGCGGAATCTTGACCTGTGTAAACTCTGTCAGCTAGCGAACATGACAAGGTGTGCATACACTGCACACTCGTCGGCTGTTCATCATAGACCATTTATACACAAGGGAGAGTGGAATTCAAACCAGCATCACCTGCCATGTATAGGTGTAGGATAGGCTGCAGTAGCAGCAGAATACGCCTTATTCCTTACACTCACATATAAATTTTAGTATGCATTCGGTCCGGTGTACTTCGTCCATATTTTACGTTTGTATTTCCCACACAAGTGTCTCCCCAATAGATGCGGCGACCCGCTGCTGCGTGTGCAGCAGCAGGTGTTGCTGCCACAATAGCAGGGGCAGCACTGCAAGCAGCTGCAGTGGCAGCTGCAGCAGCAGCAACGCCAGGCACAGCAACAACAAAGCCGTGTACCTCCGCTGCTTAGTGCAGGTGTTGTTCGACCTGCATGCATGCATATTCGCTGTATGTTTGTTCAGCGTCATCTTGTGTGATGTTGCATGCATGGGCAGCAGCAGCAATGCCATGAAAAGCGCTATGCCTGCTCCAGCCAAACACTTGCGGCTTTGCTGCTGCTCCCGGGCGTCTCCGCTTTGCTGCTGCTGCTGCACCCCTGCAGCTGCAACGCCCTCCTGAGCTGCTGCACGCAGGCGCACTGCAGGTGGTGTTTATATGCTCTCTTCTGTAAATGCTAAGAAGACGGGGGAGAGATACCTCAGAGACCCAACCCTCTCCTAAACACTTTGAACACAACACATCCTCTCCCTCTGCTGCAGTTGCTTCTCTGTCTCCTCCCTCCTGATTGTTGCCGTCTCCTACCCCCAACAAACCTAAGCTCCAGAAGGGCTGCTCTTTGCTGCGCCTTTCTAAGACCCGCCGCACCTCCTCCAGCGCCTCCTCCCCATCTAAAACAGCTTCTGCCACCTTTGGGGCTGCATGAGCCCCTGGGGCTTCCGCCGAATGCGCTGCGCCTAGCCCACTGCACTGCTGCCCTCCAGCCAGTACGCAGGGCACCGGCAGTGGCAGCAGACGGAGATGAGCATAAGATGAAGGAGAAAAAGAACACGAAGAGGGAGAAAGGGGAGGAGGAGGAGGAAAGGATGAAGAAGAAGTCTCTAGAGCAATTAAACCAACAATGCCGCGGCGCGAAAGCAGCCCCAAGGCAGTAGTCACATGTGCCCACTCCTCAGCACTTAGCTGCAGCTCTGCTCCAGCAGGAGATGCTGCTGTTGCAGGAGCTGCTGCTTCTGCAGCAGCTCCACAAGGAGATTCAACAGGGCCTTGGGGGGAGTGATATTCCGCGCTACAGAAACGAATGCGGTTGCAGCAGCAACAGCAGCAGGTGCTGCTGCTACAGAAGCAATTGCTGCTCCCGCTGCTGCAGCAGCACCACGCCTGCTCTACATAACAATGATCACTGTGCTCTTCCGCCGTATAGCTGCTGTTGCTGCTGCTCTCTTCAGCAGCAGCGCTCCTAACACCAGCAACTCCTGTTCCACTGCTGCTATTACTGCTGCTGGTGGTGGTATTGCTGCTGGTGCTGCTATTGCTGCTGCTGTCGCTGCTAGTGCAATTGCTGCTGCTGCGACGGGAGTTCTTTTGTCCCTCTCCAGCGGCCGCTGGGACAGCGACTCCGCCGACGACCTGCACGCAACGCCGAAAGGCTTCTTGCTGCAGGTCGTCGTCTTGCTTGCTGTCCGTTATGGTGCTGCTACTGCTGCTGCTGCTGTTGCTGCTGCTGCTGGTGCTGTTGCTGCAGCTGCTGCTGCTGCTGCAGTTGCTGCTGCTGTTGCAGTTGCCGCTGCTACTGCAGTAGCTACTGCTGCTGCTGCTGCAGTTGCTACTGCTACTGCTGTTGCACTTGCTGCTGCAGTTGCTACTGCTGCTGCTACTACTACTGCTGCTTCTGCTACTGCTGCTGCTGCAGGCGTTGCAATCTTGAAGGAGTGGTGGTATAGGCAGCTGGAGGTCGTGAAGGAGTCTCTTGATTCCTTGCACTTCTCTTCTTTTCCCCTCTGCTGCTATCCGACGAGCATATGCGCGGAAGCGCCTGCGCACTCCAACAGCACGAGAACCCCTCTCTAACCACGAAGGAACACTCGTAGCTGCTGCTGCCATAGGCGCTGCAGTAGCCGCTACAGCAGCAGCAGCTGATGCTGATGCTGCTTCACCTGCTACTGCTGCATCTGTAGAAGCCGCTGGTTCATTTGCAGCAGCAGCAGCAGCGGGTGCTGCTGGTGGTGCTGCAAATGCATCCGCTTGTCGGCGAGTGGCTATGGGCATGCGACACCGTAGACAGAGGCGCTCTGACTGCCACAAGGCTGTATCTATGGACGCCTCTGCTGTAGCAGCAGTTTGCTGCTGCGGTGAGTTGTTGAGAATGGCATCAATTCCTCCTCTTCCATACTCGCCTTCGTTCACCGTCTCCTCCTCCCCCTTCTCCGCTATTGCCGATGCAGTGGATTTGCTGCCCCCTGGCTCATCCTGCTGCTGCAGCTCCTGCTGTCGCTCCTGTTGCTGCTGTACCTGCTGGTGATGTAGCTGCAGCTGCGGGTGCATCTGCGGTTCCTGCTGCAGGTGCTGCTGCTGCTGTTCCTGCTGCGGTTGTTGCTGGTGGGGTTGTCGTTGTTGCTGTTGCTGCTGCTGCTCTTCATCAGATAGTTCCACCACCACCGACGCCTCAGGGGGAATTCGTTTGCAGATACCCCTTGTTGGCTGGAGCAGCATATCAGGAGCTGCCACTGCTGCAGCAACAACTTTTTGCTGGGCGTTGCTGCTGAATTTTTGTTGTTTCTTTCGAGGTGGGATGCCATATACGATATCGTTTTGCGGCAGCAGCAAATTATATGCAGCAAATTCCCCCAAGTGCTTCTCATCTTCAGAAGGGGGATGTAGCAGCAGCCGCTTGCGCACCTTAGGTGAAGCCCAGCCTGGCCTAGGAGACATCGAACCGGGAGCAGCAGCAGCACCAACAGCACAAGCAGCAGCAACAGGTGCTGCTGGTGCTGCTGGTGCTGCTGGTGTTATCTTGTCGTTTGTTTTGTTGCTGCCCTTAGCAGCTGCCTGCTTCGCAGCCTTACAACCCTTTTCGGTCGCCTCCTCTGAGGATCCCCTCAAACGACTGCGGCCACAAGGAGAAACGGTTCCCCCTTGGGACGGTGAGGACGTGCTGCTCCTGCTGCCGCTGCTGCTTGCGGCCCCAGCAATGTGCAGGCGAGCCGTATTCTCTCCTCTCTCTCCTTCCAAGACCGAAGGCGACAACAGAAGAGGAGGAGAACGACTGACCCCTAGAGGAGAGAAATTCTCTGCAGGGCCCCCCTCTACCTCCGGGCCTTCCAAACCAAAACGACAGAACAACTGTCGCGGGTGCAGCAACTGTTTTGCTGCAAACTCCAGCTGTTGACAATTGAACTCAATGTGTGCACGTGAACCCCCACCTGCTGCTCCTGCTGCCGTTGCTCCGCCGTCAGCCGCACAGGCTGACACCCCGGTGCAGTTGTCGCTGCTGCTGCTGCTGCTGGAGCTCCCTATGCTGTTGCCACTGGGTTTGCGTGTCGCAGGGGAGGTGGCGTAAACCACGTGCCCCCCTAAAGGCAGGCACAAAGACAACAGCAACGCAAGCAAAATTTGTTTCGCTATGCCTCTACCTGGAGGGGGAGAACAGTACAGCTTAAGCCAACCGGTGGTAGCGGTGCGCTTGCTCTTGGTGGTGTTCACGAAGAGCTGTTACTGTTGCTGTACTATATGCAGCAGCAGCAATCGCTGCCGTTGCAGGGGCAAAACTTGATATATTCGTGCTGAAGTTAGTTGGCTGTCGTGTTACTGCTGCAAAGCGGTCGCTGCTGGTACTGCTGGTGCTGCACAAACAAGTGCATGCATCGCGACCAGGGGCTAGGTGATGCCCACCTTCCATGCATGCTAGCAAGAATGTAGGTAAGCAAGCATTTGCATGCATGCGTGGTTGCACGCATACCCTCCCTTTTGCGGCTACATGCGCTTACCGTAGCTGGGGCTTTTGAGATCGAGTCCGTAGGCGAGTGGGAGATGAACACAGTTCGCATTTCCCCATTTTGCATGCAGCGCATGGGAGCCCCAAGCCTCCCCCGGCAGCAGAAACGCGAGAGGCCTCAGCTGTTCCTGCTGCACAAGAGCTGTTCTGCAGGAAGCTCGAAGAATTGCAGCAGCCTCGGCGGACCCTAAAGAGCCCCCCGACGACCACCGTGAGAAGGAACGAGGAGGCAAGCCCAAACACTCAACCTTGTAGTGCAACGCTGCCTCCTCCCCCCCACTCACAACCTGCAACGTAACAGCAACAGCAAATCACGAAATACAACAGCGACAAATGAGAAATCAATCCAACTGAGAATTTCGGGAGGCACACAACGATGATAACAACACAAATACAAACAAATACACAATAATGACATCAGAAGTACACCGAGCAAGAACCTATATAACATTATTATCATACGAGCCATACAGAACAGCCACACCCAGCAGACCGAAAAAAGAAGATATGCTGCACCTGTTGCACAACTCCAATAGAAGAACAGAAGAAGCGTTTGTCTTCATTTCTGGGGGCCAATACCTCTACCCATTGGCCAGGCTGCAAGGAACCCTGCTGCTGCTGCTGCTGCTGCCGCCACGCCGCGAAGGCGAAGACAGCGGGTTCGACTCTTGCTGCTTCAATGCATGCATCGAAAGCACCAAAGGTGTCCGCTAAAGGGTCTGCATGCATTCCCCCTGCACTCGGCACACCTGCCAAGCGCGCTGAACTTCTACCGCCCGCTGGTCCTCGCTGCTGCTGGTGCTGCTGCGGCCGCTGCTGTTGCCGCTGTTGCTGCTGCTGGCGTTGCTGCTGCGCGTGAAGAGGAGCAGCAGCTTGTTTGCATGTCAAGATGTCTTCTTCGACTGCAGCAGCAAATGGCCCCACCTGCATCCAGCGCACCAGGCAACGATCGCCCAAGCGCGCAACGAGATACCCATACCTAAACAAAAAACAAACAGATTCAAAGCATACATACTAACTGCTGATGCTGCTGATGCTGCTGCTGCCCCTACTACTACATCTGTTGCTGGCACCGCTGCCTACCTGAAGTAGGCGGCGGGGGATGGGCTGGAGACTGTCTGGTCTGTGGGGACTCCCCAAACTCGAATAACTGTAAGCAACACACACAGCACTGCCGCACATGAAGTAGCAGCAACGCCAACAGCAATAACGGCAGCAAGAACACCAACAGTAGCAGCAGAAGCAACAACAACAGTAGCAGGAGTAGTAACAGTAGCAGCAACAACAGCACAGGAGCAGCAGCGGGGGCCCGCAGGGGGGTTGAAGCGTACGCGGCAAGCGCTGGGGAGCACCCAGAGCAGGAGGCTGTTGGACATGTGGTGGAGCATCTGCTGCCTTAGGCGCCCCCCCGTCTTTCAAATTCCCTTCTGTCGCTGCTGCTGAAGCTGCTGTTGCTCCTGCTGCTGCAGTCGATGCCAGCATCGCGTCCAGTAGGCAGTACAGCCAGAAGGTTTGAGCCATGTAAGGCTTCCAAAGACTAACAGCTGCAGCAAACCAACACAGCAGCAGCAACAGCAGCAGCAGCATGCCACTGGCTGTTTTCACTAGCCCGCCTGTCGTGCTCTACCTCCTGCAGAAGCAGATGCTGCTGTTGTTGCTGCTGTTGCGGTTATTGTTGCTGCTGCTGGTGCTTCCTACCTCGAAACGATGGGGCGTAGTCTCCAATCACTTTGCCCATTCGCCATGTTGCCTTTGACAGTCGAGATACCCGACGCAGCAGCTGCAGCAGTACCAGCAACAGCAGTAACAAGAACTGAATCAGCAGCAGCAGTAATACAGGCAAATGAGCTGTAGACTTCTCTTAGGATAACAGAAGTAACCTGAAGATGTTTCTTTGTTTCTCACCTCCTCGTCAAATGTCTCTCCGGGCACAAGGGAGCCTAGCAGCTTGGAAGAAGCCCCTAAGTCAAGCTGCCGCAGCCGCAGGCAATGGCAAGAATTTAGGACCCACAGCAGCAGCTGCCGCAACTGCCGCAAGCCGCATTCTCGAGCCAATAGACACAAAACACCGCTGAGTAGGAGACCTTTTAGTAGCTCCATTCCATCTAACAAAGGTCCTTCCCCACGGCAACTGCCGGCAGGAGCAGCTGCAGCTGCAGGAGCACCAGCAGCAGCAGCAAAGTCGTTCCCCGAGAGGTTCAACTCCCGCAAATCGGGAAGCTGCTGAAGCTGAAGCAGCAACTGCTGCAGCGCAGCGGGAGGCAGCGGCTTATTGCCTATTGCGTTGCAATCAAAGTGATTTAAAAAGCGGCAGGAGGATATTGTGCTGCACAAAGCAGCAAACTGGTCTGCAGGCATCTCTGCAGCACTTAGAGTCAAAGATGTTATCCGCGGCAGCTGCGACACAGCCTGCATAAATCCGGCTGCTGCTGCTGCAGACGGAAACACCGCGTTGCGCAAAGATACCTTTCCCACCGCTTCCTTTGCATGCAAATCCGACAAATGCTTCTCTAGTTGCTCTGGCCGCTGCCGCCCCTGTACAAAGATGCTCTTGCTGTGCGCCCCGCTAAACGGCTTCGAAGTAGCTGCAGTAGCAGCAGGATGAGGACCAGCTGCAGTGCACATTGCTACTGCTGCTGCTGCTCCAGCAGCAGCGCCACCGGCAGACGAACCCGATGCGACAGAAGACACCTCACTGCTACTGCCGCTGCTGCTGCTGTGACGCAACGAAATACCAACAGCAGCCTCCTTCGAATCATCGCCGCCCCCATCCTTCCCGCTGCTGCTGTTGCTGCGGTTGCTGCTGTTGCTGCTGTTGTTGCTGTTGCCGTTCAGTTGGCGCCGCTGTGTGGTGCTCGCAGTAGTAGTCGAAGCAGACGGAAGAGAATGCGGGAATTCATCATCGTCGTCCTCAACAGTTATAATTTCAGCAGGAGGATGGGGATGGTGTGAACTGGGCAGTCTGTACTCCTGATTGCTCTCGCTCCGCGGCGAAGAGGGCAACCCCCCTCGCCCTGAAAGCTTCTGCGCCAAAGGGTCCCCTTCTTCTGCCTCCGATACAACAGGAGAGTCCAGAGGGTACAGTTGGTTCCCCAGGGGCCCCCGGGGCACCGGGGGCCCTGAAGGGCTGAGAGATGCAAGGGGGCCCCCAAAAGGTAGTATAGGGGTGTGGTGAGAGGGGGGGCCCCCTGGTCTACCTGCACCTGTCTGGACGTCTGCAGCATGCAGGGTGCGCTTCATCTTTGTTTGAAGGGGGCCCCCGGGGCCCCCTTGCCCCTGAGCCGCTGAGGGGCCCCCCTCCACCCCTTGCTGCCGGCGAAGGAGTTGGCAGAGAGTGCCTGAGGGTTCAAGGGGGGGGGGCCCTCAGTGCACAGGAGTTAATCTGTTGTTGCCGTCATGGGAAGAGAGAGGAGAAGGGGGCGGTGTGAGAAGGCAAACAGGCTGCCATAGGTGGAGCAGGCAGCAGCTGGGGTGTATCTGTAGCTGTTGTGCATGCAAGCAGCGGCTGAGTAGAGGAGCAGGAGCAGAAGAGAGCGGTCTCACATGTAAACAAGGCAAAAGAGTTCATTAACAGCACAAAAAGACACTACAAATATGTTTAATTGCTGCTTCCCCTTTTTTTTGCTGGAGGCATTGCTGCAGGGGGGGCCGAAGCGGCAATTGCTGCTGCCCGCTGTACGTGCAGCTAACCGCCCGTAGCAAAACGGTGGAAATGTTATTATATATTATTAATCGATGTTAAGCACCACACTATTTGTGGAACTTCGCCTCCTTCGCAAATAGCAAACACCATTTTGCCTCTACAACCCATGCAAGCCACGCGCCAGCTAGCTACTGTTGATCAACAGACACCCCAAGTATGCGACCAGAGTGCGTTTAGCACATCTGATGCCCCCCCAAATTTTCTAATAGAGACAGAGGCGTCGACAGGCCCATACGGATCCTTCTAAGGTGTCGGGGCGGGCACTTTGTGTCAAAGGTTAGAGTTTAGTGTAACTGAGTCTTCCCGTGATTGGAAATTCTGTCTGAATTTGGTACATGAATGCTTACTCATGCTAAGTACACTGAAGTCAAGAAGGAGCCTTCAACACTTCTCTACAATGCGTCTGCTTGCATCAAAGGAATCTTGGTTCTGCCTGTATGGGCTGTTTGCAACTTGAGTGGCACGAAGGTACGCTGCAAATCCTCTCAAGTCTTCTCCCTCTCAGGTCCAGGCTGTCGATGGAGTTATTAGCATCTTTAGTAAGCATTGTAAGGGGGTAACATCTCCGCCTAATCTTCTCGCGTTACAGCGCAGACCCTAGACCCTAAAGGCCTCCGACTCTGGGCGCCTGGATTTCATGGGAGGCATTCCAGAGTTAAGGGCTTATGGCTTAGGGCTTACGAAGACCTCAAACCACAGTTCTTCTTTACTTAGGGTGTATTGCTTCTGTAGGGTTTGAAGTGTGGGCGCCTGACCATAGGATTTCAGGGCCTAGCACTAAGGTATATGGGAAGGCTTTTAGGGTTTAGGCCTCCCCTACATGTTTTAGGGGTGGGATAAGGGATGATGATTGAAGCTGCTGCCACTACGGCAGCAACAACAGCACCAACAGCAGAGGCTATAGCCGCGGGAGCAGCAAACTGACACCACTGTATCAGGTAGCTAATGGAGCAAACTGTTGCAGCAACAGCAGCAAAAGTGGCTGGCTTTCAGAGCCGTTCAAGCCCACTTCGTTGGGCTAGGAGCAGAAGCTGGTGCTCCAGCTACATGCTGATCACCGCTGTTAATCCTTCTTAGCAACAGCAGCAACAAGGCAAGAGTAGCAAATACAGCAGCAGCAGCAGCAGCAGCAAGGGAAAATATCTCCTTGTCACAGGCAGCACCACCTCAGTGTGGAGACACAAGACGGCTCAGCCCCATCTGTTGAATTAGGTATACCACAAGAGCAGCAAAGTTTGAATACAGTACAGTTAGCACTAAATATACACTGGGACTCAAATTAGGGAAATGTGCTGCTTTCTCCTGCTGTTGTCTTCTGTACAAGGTATTGCCTCAAATACCATTGACAGCATGCAGGAAATTCGTCTCGTTTCTGCTTGTCCCTAATAGGCAAACACAGCTCCATTCATGCTGCCTTAGACTTTCTACTGCCAACGGTAGCAGGTGCTGCTGCTGTCGGTGTTGCTGCTGCAGCGATTCATACATCTCCAGAAGGACAGATATACACTTTCCAACGGCTGAAGCAGAAGCTGAACCGGAACTCCAAAACAACGGCCGAGCTTCGTCGGAGCAGCTGCTGTCCAGGCAAACTGCACATTTCCGTGGCATTGCACACCTGTTGTCGCGTTAAGAAAACAATACAACATTTTTGCCTTTATAGCTATGGCTAACTCCACAGGGAGGATTTGCCGAGCCTATGGTTTAGGTTTCAAAGTTGCTGTTGCTTGAAGACACGAGATCACTACCAACCCCGTGCAAGTCGGAGGCGGTGTGTGTGTATGTGTGTTTGAGCGTGTGTGCTCGTGCGCGTGAATAATATCCTCCCATTCATGAACAATTAATAAATATGCATTCACTTATACTTCACAACTTGGTCGAGTATCAATTGTTCTTGTATTGGGACCGCATTCACTAGAAGGCATATGGTGTGTGCTCGTCCGTCTGCCACCCCACTGCATAAACACCCGCTGTTGCATGCATGCATGCGGCCAGCCACACGGCTCGGAGAGTGTCTGTACGTCCCATTCCCTTACTGCCTTTTTAATTCATCTTTATATCAAAATAAAGGCATTATTATCACCCTTTTCGTCTTAATTCCTTTGCAGTAGCTATAGGGGTGCTGGCTTTCATCCGGCTCTCGGCCGCCAGCTGCCATCGATGCTGCCCTGCGCAAAGCATAGCGAGCAATAAATGAATTGGAACCGCCGGAAAATTGAGCACTAGCGTTTAAGCTGTTCATACATCAAAAATGTCTCAAGGGACTCCGCCGGCCGGCCCCGGTGGGCCGGTCGTGTCGGTGGCGAATATTCGGGGATTGGGGAGAAACGATCCTGTAAGAAAGAAAGTAAAGAGACGCAGTTTAACTCCGCATCTGGTGCTGCAGAGGGAGCGTTTGCGTCTGGTGTCCAGCCTGTTGAAGTGCTGGATGGGTAATTTACGTGTATTTCAGTTATTTACGATGTTTTGCTGCGCTTTTCTCAGGGTTTGTTTAAAATGAGTGGGGAGATATTTGGTTGGAAGAACAGAAGAAACGGAAAGGTTTATCAGTACAAAAGTTCAGATGTTGCAGACGCCCAGTGGATACACTGCGGCGCAGACCACTACCAGCTCAAGATTGTTCTTGGCCCCCATAGGAATGACAGCATCGTCATGTTCGATGGATTTCACAAGAAGGTAGGAGGGACAGGGGCCATCACTGCGCTAAGGGACGCCAAAGCTGAATTGGTATCTTAGTTGGTTTCGGTGTTTCGTGGTGCAATAGCTTGTACTAATGTTACTGCTCGTTGTTTCTCAGAACTATGAAGACATTCGGCGCCATTTTTTAGACCATTTTAAATTGAATTTAACTTCGAAGAGCATCGCGCACTTGGGATGGCACTGGGGTGACGTCTCTATGGACGGTATGTGTAGTGTATTTGACGACTATAAGCAACAGGGAAACGGTTTGTGTTTTATTAGGTATTTTCTGTGTAGTGTTGTCTTCAGTGTATCTCTTACTAAACAGTTGCCACGATTGTTCCCTTGTTATTTTTCCTTGGGTCAATTGTTGGCATTAATTTTTACTGGCGGCTTATCTTGTACATGTCCTTGTTTCTCTGTCACCGTTTTCTTCCGTTTTCCGTCTATACCGTTTGTGTAAGCCAACGAGATGTGGTCTGCACAGATCTGCTTCTTGGTCTTTTTTAGCCTCCCAAAGTCCACAAATGCCTGCGTTTTGTGCGACTTTGCCTTTGTTTGTGATGAATGTAGCTGTATATACACGTGCGATGTATTAATGTATGTAATGTATGTGGATACATATAAGCATATGTACACATATATAGTGTATATATGAATGGATACGTTATGTTTTACTTCGGAATTCACGCACATGCAGCTTAACACTTCGGAGCATGTGTGAATTCCTAAGTAGAATATATCTTTACAAAACGAATGAATATACAGATATGGGGTGTGCTTTTTTCTTGTTCGGTGGTGTACACGCACCATCCAGCCCTCCAGCAAGTCTGGGTTAGGTGGTTGTGCCTACTTTTGCATTTATGCTGTGTGGTTTAGGGAACAACTTAAATGTTTCCGTAAACGGCTGTCCCGCATTTGAAGTCAATGCACAGGACATTGTGCAAGTCACAACCCCTTCAAAGAACGACTTGGCTATTGAACTGGTTCAAGATGACACCCGGTACCAATGCAAATTAGGGTTTGGGGTTTAGGCTTTGCTTGGGTGTGTGATGGGTCTGTCTAGGGTTTATAATGCTTCAGCACTCATGGCTTCTTTAATTCTTTACAGCTTACTGCCGGTTTCTCAACGTCTTAGAGCCCCATTCTTTCTGATTATTATTTTCTGTTTTTTATAGGTTGTTGTTTCCTAAGTGTTTGCTACTACGTCAGTACTTTTTTATGCCATTCAGTGTTGTGATGCGTTTCTTTGTTTATTAGTTTAGAGCCCATGTCAATTATTTGTTTTTGCCTTGTTTGGATTGCTTGTTGTTACTTTTGTGTGTTTGTGCTTGGTTGGTATTTCTGCCTGTTGGCATGTGCCTGTTTTTATTCCCTTTCGTTCTCTCCCGAGATGCCGTCTCTGTTGTTTTTTTTCGTTTAAATATATGTTCCAGCGGAATTTTTTGCGTTTCTGGAGCAGTATCTGCGTTGTTCATTGTGTTAATATTTTTATTTCGACGTTGTTTTCCAGAGATCAAACGGAAGACATGCTTCTTGAGATACGCCTCTTTCAGCCTGCTGCAGGCGACGACGAAACCGACAGCCACCTGCAAAGTCTGAAGGAGGTCGGAGGCTAAGACGAACAAACACGATTTCCTAACAATTAAATGCTATTATTGTCTGGGTTGTGATCGTTATTTCTCCGCTTTAATGCAATTTCTTTGTGTGCTTTCAGTATTGGTTTTCATCGATAAAGTGATTCGAGATTAGTTTCAATCAGCTGATTTCATTTCGATAGTAAACAGTTGTTACTGTTGTCGTTCGTACTTGTCATTCTTAATTAAGGAAAATTTCTTCCTCTGTCTTCAACAAGCGTGTGTCGTTATCCTTGTTGATTGGGGTGTCCCTAATGCAGTTCCATCAATTCTTCTAGCGTTTACTGTCCGGCTTCTCTTGAGCCTGCAGACAGTTGTTCTTTCTTCCGTCTGCAAAACGGATGCTGCTGTGCCACTTAACATTGGTGAAGTAGCCTGTTGGTACTTTGTTGTCCCCTTCATTGATTATTTAAATATTTAGGCATTGGTTGATCTTCCTTCAACACAGCTATTTTTAGCGATGCCTGCGTTTAACTCCTTCTACACCGGCATGTGTAGTGCGCAGTAGTCCATACACATGCGTAAGCTTGCATGATTTGGTTCTAGGGTTGGGGGACAGAATACGCCACCTCCACGGTCACTCTATTCCCAGTTTGCACCGTGCTGTTGCCGCTGCTGCTGCTGCAGAAGCTTGTGAAGAAGAGTGGAGTGGCAGAGACAAAGATGGAAAGTATTGCCCTTTTGAATGACGTCCCGCTTTTGGTGCCGAGAGGAAGATATGAAATTGACATCGGCAGAAGAGCGCTCAAGTTTCACGGAAAGTCTTACGATTACACGATTCTATACACAAACATCAACAGGTCTGTGTTGTAATATAGGACCTTTGCATACACAGCTGTAGCAGTGCGCGCATGCTGAGCGTGCTTTGTTGTTGTGTTTTTAAGTGTATAACGCAGATTATGCACAAACCACAAGCCCATACAGTATCTGCAATGTGTTTGAAATTGCCAACACATATTATCGTTGTTTGTACGCATGCACGAGCATACTCATAAATATGAATATGAATAATTGTACATATAAATGTACGTGTATGTGTGTAGTCAATCCGTGTTTGTGTTGGAGTGACTGCATGCTTACAAAGTGTATTACGTGTTCTGCGTTTACATGTTTGTCTTTGCTTTTGTTGCACACGCACACACCGAACGAATAAGCACTTGCAGCATGCCGTGTATAAATGTGCAAATGTATAGTGGGTAGGATGTACATTTTCTGTATATGCTAAAGTGTGCATCGGTGGCGGCATGCTACCGTAATTTAAAAAAAGATGCATTCATAATCGTACAGACGACAGTGCATGTGCATGCATGTAAATATATAAGTACGAATCCGTTGACATACATAAAATATTTTAACTACGTATCTGCATGCAGCATATAAATGTCTTATGTAGGTGGTCGGTTGTTGGTTTGCAGGATGTTTCTGGTACCTCGTCCGAACTCTCCGCACGTAAATTTCATATTGTCTTTGGACAACGCGATGCGCCAGGGCCAAACTTCTTACCCGTTTGTCGTCATGCAGTTTGACAGCGAAAATGTCACTTCCGTTGAAGTCAATCTTGAAGAGGCAGAGCTTAAAGAAAAAGGGCTGGAGAAACAACTCGAAGGTAGTTGGCTAGCTACATGCTGATGTGTGTTTTTCCTATGCCGTACTGTACTGTTTTGTGCGGTTATTGTATTATTGTTGTCTTGCGGTAGTTGTTTAATGTTTTTGCAGCGTTGTTGCTGTGTCGTCTAGTGTTGCATTCATATTTCCTTCGGTGTTTTTATGTGCTTCTGAGATATTTGGTTTTTCTTGCGTTTCAATGCGGTGCACTTTTGCCTTTCCCGTGAGTGTGGTTGTTTGGTTTGTGGTCGTGTATACTGATGCTGTTCGTTTTTAGGCAAAACGTTCGACGTGATAACTCGCATTCTGAAATCTCTCATTGGAAAAAGCGTTATTGTTCCTGGAGACTTTAAAAGTGTCAAAAACCAATACGGGATTACCTGCAGCTATAGAGCCCAGAGCGGTCATCTGTACCCTCTCAATCGTTCTTTCTTATTCATAGTCAAGCCCGTTATTTTTGTTAGGTGCGAACATATTTTCTCCCTCGTGTGTATTTTTATGTTTGTTTCGTCCCTTTGCGGTTACGCATATATATATTTCATGCGTACGCAGGATGCTGGCCATGAGGCTTCACGTGCACGTATCTGATGCATGTTTCAACTATGTACCTTTGCGCAAGAATACTGAGAAACGGGGCCTTGCTGAGCTGAAGAGCCGGCAGTATACATGCAGTCATAGTATATATTCATGCTCTTGTCTGTTTGTTTCAGTCGCTTCGCTTGTTGCCTTAAGTCAGGTTGATATCTTATTTGGTTGGTTTTGCAGATTTGAAGATGTGGTGAGCGTGGAATTCAGCCGAACTGGCGCAAGTACCACCAACCGTTTCTTCGCGTTTACGGTATCTTGCCGAGGTGGAGTTGAGCATGAATTTACTTCAATTGACCGCAACGAGTACACCGTAAGGGCGCAATAAACCCCGCAAATGGAAGCATACAACCCTGATTCGCATGTTATGTGCTGCATTCACATTCACTGAGATCTCTGACGCAGCACGAGCAGTGGAGAGAAGCACGAAGCAGCAGGTTTTGGTTTATTGATTTAAACAGCGGATGCACTGCGTGCTCTCTGTTCTGTGAGCACAGCCCTTAGTGGAATTTTTGACACAGAGGGGAATCCGCATTAAGAATGTCGAGAATTCAAATGCTCAGCGGACAGGTGGACTGCAAGAAGAAGAAATACAAACTGACGAAGATGATGATGATTACGGCGGAGAGGAGTCCGAAACAGGTAGCTGAGCCAAAGCATTATCATGCCTTATGCCCTAAATAATCCTGGCACCGAAGCTGATGGCAGAAAGCGATGAAGTCATCTCCTTCGGATATAGTTTAGCCACCAGATTCATATGGCTTGCTTGTTTCATTTGCCACGTAGCAAAGAAAGCCAGCAGTACGCACGAATCGATACGGCATAAAGCAGGATACAATGCAGAAGTTAAAATATAGAATGGATATGAACTTCTGTCAAGTCTTGAAAGTTTTGGGGTTATGCAGATGAAGATTTTGAAGACGAAGACGATGATGAGGAAAGCGAAGCGAGTGCTGCAGACTCGAACGATGAAGACAAGAAGGAGAAGGAGAAAAAACGAAAGCACAAACACAAGGTGAGAGGTTCGACACAGGCAGGACACAGCACGTGTCTGCAATTCTCACCAGCCCACTTTGGCCAACAGATTGAATGAACTGTCCTTATTCTTGAGCATAGATATGGAAGTATAACCCGCAATCGCTTTGCTTTTTAAGTCAAAAGTACAGCAATATTTGGAATAATAGAGCGGCCCCAGTTTCCGCCCCTTGGTGTGTGTGTTTGCCCAGAAGGACAAAAAGGAGAAGAAGAAACATAAGAAGTGACAGGGGTGAAAGAGAGGCTGTATACGCTCTTAACTGCCTTAGGCAGCGTTGCAGCATGACGTATACCCCATGGCTCCTCAGTGCTTTGCCCCTACCAGAATGCAAATTTTTCTTGTTTGGGAGTTTTCCAAGGCTGAAGAGGAACACAAGACAACAGCAACCGACTCCATTTTCCTCAGGCACCGCGCCCAACACCTTGCGGGGTTGAAGGCCCAATAAGGCTCCACCTGTTATGTTATTCTCTTCCGTACCTTATTTCTGTAATGCATCAAACAAAAAAGTCTTCCCCGGGTGCATCTCAACGCATTGGGTCACTCAATGACCTACTTGTTATTGCCTACTGAATATATATATCCATAGATTAGTAGCGTGCTGCTGATTTATATGGGTATACCTCTGAGTATGGTGTGGATAACTAATGAAACATTTCTCCACAACAGTACAGAGCTGGATGGCGTAGAGTTTGCCTGCGTCACCCAGCAACCTTACCACGTGGCATCTTGCTCACAGCTTGTACCCCTTGCTGTAGTCCTCTTATGATTCATTTGCTTGGCCGATTTATCAAAGACGCCCGCGTTGGCTGAAGCTTTACCGCCTGTTGTGTTCGATCAGTTCTAAAGGCTTGCGTCTATACTTACCCCGGTTACTGCCTTAGTCATGGCGCTTGAAGCAATATTATATTCTTCCTCTATATGGAGTACACTCCCATGAAGGCTCGGTAGTGCTGTATTACAAGCGATACCTGATGGATGCCTCCCGAATGGGTACAGCGGCTATGGAGGTTTCTTTAACCACCTTAACTATGAGGGGTTGTCACTATTCTTCCAAAGTGGAATAAACTGATATTGTGGGACGTATCTGTTAGTGCCTCGCCGGCGAGTGTGCAGGCTGCACGGCTGTAGTGGGTTGGCTCCGTTGTGCCACAAAACTCTTGTAACAATAAAATTTCGGTCATTTCATGTTTCTGAGTCTTATTCTTACGCCACGTATACGGTTGTGGCGCCTAGGTCGCAGAAGCTCAAGGCAGGCTGCATAAACCTATGAAGCTCAGCCTCCAGGCAGAAAATGAGTTGGCTGTGAGTGCGGTCCAACAGCTTACTACCCTGCAGCTGTTTCGAATACTAAACCTGGTAGCCTGCTTGTCGGGGGGAAAAGGCAAAGTGATTATCTCGAATGCCGCTATACTTCTTTTAGGCAGCAACGTTGCATATATATGTGTTATGTAAGGAAGCGCACTGTTTCCAGCAATCCGCGGCCACTGACATACGACCGACCTGTGAAATGGTCAATCCGCCCTTGTCAGAGCAGCTACTAATTACCAACAGATGGGGTATTGCGGTTCATGTACCGGCAAAGAGGCGTGCCCGAGAATGTATCACTGCATGCACTACAGTTACGTCAAAACGGGGTTGCCCGCATGCGGACATCGAAATCCAATGCGAAATCTTTCCAAGCCCATAGCAGAAAATATTTATTGGGGAGCAGCTGAAGATGGCCATCTCCAGAATCCTGCACTACCTGCGAAGCAGCAAAAGAGGCGTTCGACACAAAAAGCACACGAAGACGAGGAGACGGATGAGCAGAAAAATGAAACAAGCAGCAGGACAAGAAAATTGAATTAGTTGAATTCCCCTGTTTGACAACTCCCTTGTGGGCAGAACATGCAACGGCAGGTTGCGTTTATGCACAAAACGCACCTATGCGCGCACACACCTCATACGATGTACGTAGGCGCACGTACCTCCACACAAGAATCCAAGATAAGATTATGAACTAAAGTCCTATACACGTTGGGGACAAGAGGACGCGAGAGGTCCTGACAACAGCAGACCGGACAAAGCTAAGCTCAGGGCACATTTGTTCTCACAAGCTACAAATATTACCGTTTAGATGGAAAGAGAACAATCAAATTGCAATGGCTCACAAAACGCCTGGGCTAAAGTGTGATTCATGCAAGTCCAGTCAAGGGGACGCACCCTCGGCACGCAGTACGCCTTTTCTGTCAGGTACCTGGTGACATCCACACAAATCCAGCATCGAGTAGATAACCAAACACCCCTCTCAGCACTCGTTCCACCAGGGGCTAGTTGAGTTTATCCGCAAGTGACAATCTACGACTGTGCAGATGTATATCATGCGACTAATGAACACTCACCACTTAACCAGGTCAACAGCACTGGTTGGTGTGGGGGCGTTAGCGTGCAACAAAAGGCCTGCAAAGAAGGCGAAGTGTCGGTAGGCCTCGTAGTCAATGCTGTACTCCTGCTGTCGTTTCTGCATGCACCCACTCAAGCCGGTTGCGTGGGGCACACTAAAATAGCAAATTAATGCCATTAAGTGTCAGCATGCAGTCTTACTAACCAGAATACGGGAAAATGCACAGGTGTTTCCACTTGCTGATGCCAAAGGGTTGTATATTGTCCAGTGTCTGCAGGTCTAATCATACAACGCACTTCCCGCGCAGAGGCCGCTGGAGCCGAAGGAGTAATTTTATCCTTCGCGACTTTTTTGAGGCCCTGCATTCTCCTGAGAATGAAACCAAAGACCTAATGTCTACGGCAAAAGACACGCTGTAGAACTCGCCGTCATCGCGTCAGCTGCGCCTTTTCCTGCAAAAAGGAGAAAGTCCGTTCTCCGAAATATCAAGTTGTCCGTCAAAAACCAAATGAAAAATAAATGAGACAAGTATGGCGAGAAAGGAGCATGAAATCGCCAAATCGCCTCTGGCTTGTCGTCGCTCTTGTAGTAAACAAGCAGGTGTCTTGCGCCACGGGCAGCATAACTTTGAAGTGCATGGAGTTGATTGATACAAAAGAAAAAGAGATTTTAAACGATCCTGAAAACGCTTTTAGAATTTCCACAACCTTCAGCTGGATAAGGGTTGGCATGAAGGGTTCCTGCTGGTTACAGATTGGTGGTGTATGTGTGTGTTCAAACGATCGCCGCCAACAAACAACAAATGAAGTAGTCGTAGCACGGGGAAATGCTGAAACTTCATCCTCTCTTGAACTAAGTGAATGTGCTTTGTACTCTGCGTACTGCTTAAATAAAATTTGCCTAATTAATTCAAGATTCGACCGGGCTTGAGCCTTCTTGGGTGCATGCAGCTGCCCCACAAGAAGTGGAGTTTTACCTCCTGATGTAACTAACGTCCTTCCAAAATAAATTCAGAGTTGTTTAATTGAGTAAATGGTCATTTTCCTGCGGTGTTTGGACCCGTTCGCGTACACACTTCCAGGCGTCAAAGAACGCCTCTCCAGCTGACCGAGCACGAATTCAGAATACATTTGGGGGGATATATTGAAACCTCCACATTTATACACTCCACTCCCTGATTGGGAACTCGATGGTATTTTTATTTCATTAGGAGAAGGCAATGGAAGGCAGCGGCGACAACCGGCAGAATCTGGCACCTGTCAAGAAGGAGCCTTGTAGGTTATTTGTTGCAAATTGGCTGTCACCTACTGCACATCTTTCTCTCCACATATGCCGACCAGTCGAACTAGGTGCTTGTAAATACAGGGTACGGAGACCCGTAGGATGACTTCCTGTTGCGTAGTTGGCATGGGTGATCAAAGCGTGCCTATCTAAATTGCGTATCCCATTATTTGGTGTGCTGCTCTACGTGTACCAAAAGGTGGGTTTCGCCTCACTCACTCCGTCTTTGTCCTTTTGATATGCTTGCAGTGAGGGTTCGCAGTTTCTCTTCTATGCGGCAGCACGAGCAGCAACAGATGGCAGCAGCAGCCCTCCGGATTCCAAGGGGCGCCGGTCAACTCGTGCCTTCTCTTCAGCCTCGCGACCCCAGGCTGAAACAGCATTATGTGCGTCCATCGGTTCCCTTCGTTTCCGCTGATGGGGGCAGTGGCAGCAGCAGCAGCTCTGGAAACAGAAGCACCATCAAGTTTACACCCAATGTAGCTGTCAAGCAGGAAACAGCCGCGGGACCAACAGCCTCCGCGTCAGCGACAGCAGGAATATCTGATTTCAGCGTTGACGCCTTGTTGCTGCGTTCTCTGCACAGTTATCAACCCACTGGTCAAGTAAGTCCTTACTTTATGGTTTGCGGTTTATGGCTATGATCATAAGTGGATGAGCGCAAGGGGGCATGCCAACTACGGAAGAACGTTTGGCAGCCGTCATTTCATATTGCGTAGGGTTTAGTGGTTACGGTTCCGGATTCGCGCTGCAGATAAACGACATCACCTTGGGTGCTGACACCTCGACACATGCGTCATAGAGAGATGGCTGCAGGATGTTGTGGTGCTAGTCACCCTCTTCTGCAGACGGCACTGGCGATTTCTCTGTGTCCTTGTTCGTCTGTGAGCTGCAGGGTCAAGACCGTTTAAACCGACCTAAATTCGCAGCAGCAGGCAAAATGCAGTTCAGCCCAGTTCCTGCGCCGCAGGTGCAGAGAGTGTTGCCTCAAGCTAGCAACAGCAGTGGAAAGCAGCAACAGAAGAAGGGCCCGCGCTCCATTAGCCTAAGCGACTTGACTCTAGACGAGTCCCAGGGCCACTTATTTCTCCCCATCACCATCCCTTTCAAGCTTAGAGGTCGGCGGTGCATGCAGGACGAACAGCTCAAACAGGAAACAGACTACGGGACGCCTGTAGCCTTCAACAACCACCAGCAGCAGCAACTGGACGAGCTGCAGGGTATAGACACTGCGGCTTCCACCCCTAACCACTTGAGACGCAGCGAATCAACAGCAGTGCAGTTTAAGAGTGGGAAAGATAGTCTGCAAGCCTTCTCCAAGCAAAACCAGGAGGACAGTGCTGCTACTTTGTTGCTGAATGGCCAATTCCTTACGACTGGCGAAACCTCGCAAGAAGACAGCAGGCCGTTAGTTTTGCAAACGCCCTCACGGATGTCAAGTACCGGCACCACAGAGATACAAAAACCAAACATATAAAGAATAACTGCTACAGCTTCTCGCATTCACAAGCCACCTGGGGCCATTTCAGGGCAGGCCTTTGTAAAACCTCGGCACTTCGTGCCTTTACAATCGATTGTGTTGGTGAGTTTGTAACATATGCCGTTTGCTGTGGTGCTGCTGTGTGTATATGCAGCGAGTTTGTGCATCTGTGCTTTCCAGAGCTTCTCCCACCCCTGGATATTTCCGCTATGCAGGCGCAGCAGGCTAAGAGCCAGCAGCAGGCTCAGGAGAAGGCACAAGAACAACAAAATAAGGGCAGCAGCAGCAGATGCGGCCCTGCGAGTGCCACCCGAAGAAATTGTCCCACACCTTTGCATGCGCTTCCGTCTGGGCGGATCGGTCAACTGCTCATTCGTCGCAGTGGCCGCGTGCACTTGTGCCTCCTTACTGACATCTTCCGTCGTAGGACTGCATATGCAGGCGCACAAACAGCAGGCGCAGCAGGAGAAGGAGCAGCAGAAGGCAATCAAGGCTTAGAGGACTGCAAAAATGAGGACGAAGATCAGAAAGCAGAGCCAAGGCCTACGTATACACTCCGCAGTGATGTGAGTCATGCGCATCTTGGAAATTCGATGCTTTCGTTGTATTCAATTTCTGGTGGCTTAAGAGTCCGCATCACCTTCCATGGTAATCCCTTGGCTTGATTTGCTTATGCAGGACATCTGCTACGACGTGCTTCTCGGCACTGAGGGCTCCTTTGCTCAGGTGCGCGTCCGGCATACAGCAAGCCACAGCTGTCTAAAGTGACGGGTTGCACTGTCACGTTAAGCAAACTGCTTAACAAGACAGTACTAGGGGCCCGCCCAGCAATGAATGACCCGAGTGGGCAGGAGGGTCCACCAGCTCAGTCACGTGTTGCAGCAAAATCTGTTACAGTCGGCAAAGCACGCAATGGTTTCATCAAAAACTATTGTGTCAATCTGCTTTTGTTGATCGTGGACTGTCTGTAGACAGGTAAATCGAGCTACACTGAGTGTGCGGGGTGTGCGTGTGCATTTGGAATGAACGTGCAGGAAGTGGGTTGCCTGTTATCGGATACAAATGAGTTCATATTTTTGGGCCGTTGTCATAGAAAGCTCATTGTCACTGCAGATGTGCCCAGGGCTGTTCGCGCCTTATCTTCCGGGATGTGATGTCCCTTCCCACCAGTTTGAAGCTAGCCTCTCTCCTCAAGTCAAGGGTGACAAAATTTATGATATGCACGATTCGTTTCCCAACATAAAAGTCCATAACCTCTGAGAGCAGCGAAAGTCTAGTTCATCCGTGCAAGCATTACGACATCATCTCCGGAACAGAGCGTCTCCTTGTCGTTGCTCTGGAATATGGCGGGACTGATACAGGGCATGGACTAGAGCTGGGGCTGCATCCAGAGTCCTGCTGAAGTAAGCATTATCGTCGTATCGCTTCTGCTACTACGTTCTTTACATTCTGTTTGCTTGGAAGGTGGCTAGCATAGTGCTTCTCTCAGGCCCCCTGTCTCGTTACCAGCAATCTCGACTTCTTGGGCACTTGGCAGCCTAAAGTTACTGACAGTCTGTGCACTGCCTCCTCTGAAGGCTGAACAGGCACATAAGAATACAGTGTTTTATCTCTGACCACTGAGGCATCAAATATGCGCAGGCCGGTGCGCCCTGTTCTTCCACTGGACTGAAACTACCGGGGGGCTATCGCTGCTTGTGCGGGTCCTCGGTGTTGCACGTGAAGAGGCATATGTTAGTAATAGCAAGGAGCATGGATTTTCTGTTGAAATCACGCCTTCTTGTCGGTTCGATGCATTGCATTTAGCCCATCCAATGGTTACCCGGAGTATGTCGTTTGCCCATGCCTGGAAGGGTGATATAATATTTTTAATCCTCCGTTCGCTTTTGCTTTCGGTATAACTACTAAGCGTATGATCAGAAGTAGGAATGTGCACTGGAGGGTGCACTAAGGCTAAAAGCCTTACTGCCGCGATGCCCATAACCGGCGCCTGGGAGGACTTCAGCCGTGCTGTTTTTAGGCTAGCTTCAGGGGGTTGTTCTGGGTGTAAGCTGGAACTCAGGCAAACGGGAGTTTGACACGTATTTCAGTTCAAAAAGCTTTGTATTATGGTTGTTTTAACGCGCAGTAGTCCTCTTGCCTGGGCGGTGTTTCCGGGGTTGTGAGGCTTTCGGCTGCTGCCTTCACCGCCGGCCTCTGCTGGCTTGACCATCGTCAGACCAGCGCTGTCCTACATTGTAGTCTTCTTAATGATCGAGCAAGTTACTTTAAATGTGTTTAAAATCAGATTTAAATCAATGTATTTGGGTAGGTGGGCCGTTATTGGCTCTGCCGAAACGCCATTGGTTTTGCTTATGGGAGATGCGGAGGCCGTGGTGCCTCAGTGACGACCACCGTGTTTAGTTTAAATTGCTCATCTCATGCGGCGCTCGGTTCTTTTTCCAAACAACTGTTCCCGGATTGTTTCCTCATACATAGCAGATGCTGTCGGGGAAGGGCCATTCACCATATTATCTTGCGCTAGAGCCACTTTTTCTGCTGACTCAGGTGTGTCTTGACCTCTTGTTCCACCAGCAGTGTCAAAGACCTGCAGTCGCCAGCTCCTTTCACACAAACAGCTAAATTACCTTATTCGTGGGCGTTTCACGTTTGGTATGCTGCTTCATTGCATGCTTCTTCCGGGCATCCAGGAGTCCCTCTTTGCGCCGTCTTCTGCAGCTGGGGAGAGAGATAACTCGAATCCTTCGGCAATAACGTCCCACTCTGTGTGGTGAATATGTTGAAGCTTGGAGGAAATTCTGAAACGCCAGACACTCAAGCTTTTGCGGATGACCTTGCCTCCGCGGATGCCTCCCCTGAACAGGAAGCCCGACCAAAACCAACGCGAACAGGCAGGGGGCTGCCTCTGCGTGAACGCAAGGTGTATCGAAACCTTGCTCGATACACCCCTCGAGTTCAAGGGCTCACCTTTGATCACAACCAGATCCGCTGGATCTCCTACTGGAAAAATGAACAGAATAAACAAGTGCAGAAACACTTCCCCGTCAGCAGATTTGGATTCTTTGGCGCCCGACTCATGGCTTTAGAAGAGCGAAATAGAATTCAAGGGTGGCCGCTTTTCGCAGACGAAGCGTTCCATCTTATTGAAGGGTTGAAAATTTTTGTCAAGTCCAATCCGGAGTACGCTGCTGCCTTGCTACAGGGGGGCGAACTAGATCCTGTCACCGGGGAGATCCATCTCAATGTATACGCAGAGCAGGTCTTAGAGTCCTGTTCAGCCACGCTGGAGGAGCGCATCGCGGCGTCTTTGGCTACTGGTCTGCGAGCGTTGCCACCGCAAGTAGATGCAGGCGGCCGAAATCAACGCAGCAAGCCAACAACAGCAACAGCTGTTTCAACCCGCCAGCCGCCCCCCCCGCCTCTTTCCCAAGATGACGACGACTGTTCTGTTCAGCGCAGGGCGTCTGTAGGAGTGGCTACTCGTCGTCAGAGGGCAGCGCGTTTAAGGACAGCCAGTCGGCGGAATGGGGTCACCTCAAACCCTGCAGAGAGACGAGCTGCTGCACCCACACAGCTTGGTGGTTCAGGAGGGCAAGAAGAGGTTACCCTTCCTCTTCCTGCGTTTGAGGAGAAGAAGGGGGAGGTCCAACAATCAACCGACTCCGGAATGGCTACCTATGCTGATGTGCTGGCTCAGGCGTATGCCCTTTCAATGGGAGGCGTCAAAGTAGATGCAACCACAACCCATCAGCTGTCACTTCCCCGCAGCAGCCAAGAAGAGCATTTGCCCCCACCTAACCTAGATTGCAGGAAGCCGAAAGTGCTGCCTGCTTTGTTGCCTGCGACATCTGGAACGGTTTACCTCGAGGGAGGTGGAGACTCTTCAGTCAGCAGTCGTCTCGTTTCCATGGCTTCCTCAAGCTATGAGGAATCTGAACCCCTTGTTGACTCATGTGCCTTAGTTGAGCAGGAACCAGATGCTCTTCGAGACCTCCTTAACTGTGACGTCTCGGAACCGATGGACACTGGCGTAGACTGGGAGGTTGAGGGTTCGAACACCGCAACTATTGTTGACGTTAGCAGACCCACAAGGAACCCCTTAACCCGTCAGTCTCGCCAATTCTAACGCCTACAATAGAAATGCAGTTTTTCTGTTGAACTTAATCATGTTTAAACTGCTTGCCTCGTTCGTCCGTTTTCGACTTGGAAGCCCTCGCGTGCTGGCTGCTGCGTCGCAAAGTTGATTCCCTGGTGTGTATTTGTGTAAGACACCTGCTCTGCTTATTTGGGTCAGTCTGCGCCCTTCATGCACTGGACTGCTACAGTTCTCGCCTTCGGAATGCAGGGTGCTGTAGCATGTGTATGCCTATGCGGCATATGGAAGAACTGTACCCGCAGTCCATCTGTGTCATTCCTTTGATGGGTCCGTTCTGAGATAGCGCAAACAGTCCCCTACTCTGCAAACGGCGAGAAAGCGCAGGCCCGTCCCTCCATAGTGAGCACGCTTACCCACTCACGTCTACCGCGACTGTTGCTTCCTTATGCTCTAGTAATACAGCCTAAAGCCTGCACTTTTTGTGTGTATTTATCTTCTGCACGCAACTATACATTAATGCAGACGCCCCCATGGACAAAAATGTGTTTCACACTTATTACCGTGAACAAATTCGAAGTCTCATCTCATGCCATTACTGCTGCACGGAAACCTGAAACTCAAGCTGATGACTGCAGGGAGTCCCCAGAGGGGACTTAAATGCCCTCAGCCACACACTGCCAGCAGCACTTATGAAGGAGCAGCGGGTGTGGATTGCGCTTCTTCAGTCCCTGCATTACTTCCAGAAGGTTCTGAAAAACCTGCAGGTTGCTCTATATCAACATCACCTCCCTCATCGTCACCAAGCCAAGCCGGTTGTACCTCCCAACCCCCCATTAAGCACCGAAACACAACGCATGCCCGTCGTGCCTCCTTCAATGTCTTGTATTGGTTCAAAGGGAAACTCTTCGTCTTGAAGCGGCCATTTTCCCTCCACTGGCATCGCCACAGCTTGCGGGCAACATCCAGATACACGCCAGTAGGTGTGGAGGAATTGCCGCCCCCGCCGCCCCCGCGTCCACCCGGAGGATGCCGACTTCTTCCTCGTTTGTGGCGGGGTGCACTTTCGTGTGCACCCGGGCTCTGTGGAGTGCCACCCCCTTGAATAGATGCATCAGAGACGGAACCTGCATTGCTCGTGGCTCTGCTGCACACGCTCACGCCACGGCTTGATATGCTCGAGTCCACCGACATGCTGCACCGAGAAAGAGAAAAGTCAGACAAGCCACCAGCACTTGGCTCCCGAGACGCCCAACCAGCCCCATCCTCAACAGTCCGGACGACGACACGTCTACCTCCAATCCTCACTGTCCCCGCCCTTTCTGAAAGAGGACCGAAACCCCTTCCTCTGCAAAAACACGCCCACAACACAACGCCGAGCGATTTCTTCAAGGCTCTGGCTGGGTGGGTGTTCCCGTTCGTCTGCTACTGCACGTTTCTGAGCCATTATCTGCTTAGCTAGCCCACCTTGAACCCCCTTGAATGGCCTTTCTCAAGCCAATCCCAGCCGTCCCTTGGGGGCGAGAAGGCACAGGTGAGTTCCCTCGCGGCGAGCTGCCTGCACTCTGCGAAGAACGCCTCCAAGAGCGCCTCCTATGACGACCATGGCGGTCTTGCCTTCGCCCAAAAGCTCTCATAGGCTTTACTGTGGGTCACAAAGAACAGAAAAGTCTACGGACAGCTCTAAAGCCCTGTAGTGGCGGGGAATGCAGCAATTCCTACAACCTACCCAATGCGCCATACAGGTAATGCATATCATCTGCAGACAATATCCACCATCAGGCTGCACACAACTGTACTCAGGCAATATGCATGGTGAACTGTCAACATTCGAAAAGACTTACATCTTATTTGGGCATCTGTATAGTCCTTCTCGAATGGATCATAGGTATCCCGGTACCACAAGGCTCCTTTTAACAGCGGAAGTGCATAGAAGTCATCCACAAGCAGCTGGCCCTGTGTGTTTTCCACAGGCGGAGCCGATGATGCGGCAAGAGAGCGCAAGAGAGGAGTGGTGGCATTTATATCCAAAGCGGCGGTGCCACCATGCTTAGCAGACTCAGGTCTGGCCTCTGCGATGCGGCTTCTATCCTCCTCTGCCGTATCTGCATCTCCTGCTGGTATTTGGATTTCCGGTACAGCATGATTGGCTGGCATGCCACTGTCTTGCTGAACGGCTGCAGTCTCTGCAATAACACCCCACCGGCACAATAATGAAGCACGTTTACACGAAACGAAGTGATATAGTTGTTCCTTATGGCAGGGATTTGTCCTTCAACATGTCTTGCCCCCGGGCAACGCCAGTGCGATCAGCGCGGGACACTTACTCTCCATGGCCACATCATTGTTCGCGATGTCCACGGCCTTCAACTGCGACACTTCAACTGGGCTTGCCGAACCAAACAGAGCTCGCAGGCTGCCTTGCAGCAACTCGAATCCATTGACACAATCTACCTCATTGTCAGTGGGGGCTGCTAGCACCGTTGAAACAAATGTCAACATGCTCTCAGTGTTACTGGACTGCGCCACGCCTGGAGCGGTTCCTTCGCTGCCTTTTTGTGTCTTGGCCCTCCTTCCGGCCGGTGCAGACACAGGCAACCTCCCCGATTCGGAAGTTGGTAGGGAGCACTCCGAAGATGCACCATCAGTTCTCTCACCACACGCAAGGTCACGGCTTTGATGAGCCTTTGCGATTCCTGCTCCCTGCTCCCCAAATTCAACAGGCCAGCTTTCAATGCTGTCAACAAGCTCGGCAGCCGCATGAATAAGTTCGACCGACAGGTCTACACCATCACTTCTAGCTGCAGTGCTCGCCTGCTGGGTCCCTTTATGTACACACGAGCGACTTTGGCTGTCAACTACCTCAGTAAAGCGCGCCAGCATGGCCCCAGTCCCAGCGTCACATGTCTGCCACGGGGTCGAATCAACGCTTGGCGAAGGCGCACCCATCATACTTCCGCATGGTATACGGAAAACGTGGGGTGATGCTGAGAGTGATATAGTAGAATTCACAGAGGACGAACTGTCAGAAGCAGCACCGTCGCCCCTCCTACCTCTTGCGTCTGGTGTTGGTCCGTCCAGTCCAGCGCCTGTCTTAACATAGTCTTCCCACCACCAGGGCACCAACGGTGTCACTCGTCGGCGTCCTGATGTTGCCTGCTGGTCATCGGATGTCAGACGCGCCCGTTGCATGCGGCGAAGCCTACGAGGAGAGGCGTCCAGTGCGTCCCCCCCAAACCCATCTCCATGCCCAGGCCTTCCCAATTCATCTCCTGAGAGCCAGAAACACAGGCGGAATTCAAAAAAGACGCCGCATGCTAAACGTTACAGTGTGTGTAGCATGTTGCTGCATATATATATATATAT